GAGGTGGGAAATGATTGGTTTCTATCCTATGAAATTCCAGAATAACTCAGCTGAAGAGTTTTAGCACTCCACGCTGAACTCACTAAGGGCACTGGTCATGGTAGATTAGGACCCTCTTTTAACTTAATTGCCTGTCTCCATATATCTTTACCTTCTGAGGCATTATGGGTTAGGACTACAAATGAGCTTGAGATGGGACTACAGAGTAGCTAGGGGCATGGAGTCAGGGCTACTCACTTGTCTTTCATGCCAATCCTTGCTGTGTATTTTGGGTTTGCCTAAAGGCATGGAAGCTCAGTCTTCTACAAAGGGCATGTTTAAACAATCTAAGTCATCAGGTCAAAACTGCAGTCATGGCAGACGGAATCATGAAAGAACAAAATGTAGATATAACTCTGGAGGAACTGTGGGAAGCTGGGAACTTTCAGTTGATTGTTGCCCCTGTTCTAAGTTCAGTCTCTTCCTCCTCTGGTATATTTCTCATAGAGAAGTCATAGGGCGCCCTTTAAAGTTCAGATCTGGACACACTAGAGGCCTTCAGCATAGCCCGAGTGATTTCATTCCACAACTATCCCCAAGTGTCACCCTGGCTTGACTCACCTTCTAGGCCATGGTTCTCCCTGTCTTGTGACCTGGGCAAGGCTATCCTTCCTCACTGACCACCTTGTCTATAGCTTTTCTGCTGCCTTCTGCCTAATCAGCTCTTAGGTACTAAATGGGCCATTTTTCTTCAAAGAATTTTTCCCTGACCTCTAACTCCAGACTGCTACCCAAGTTAAATGCTCTTGTTCATAATCCTGTAAAAAATTTTTTTTCTCAAATAAAACTTATCAGAATTGTACCCAGTCCTTTACTTACTTCTATATTCTCTCACTGGATTTCTTTATACCTATTTCCAGGGTCTAGAATGAGACTTTACACATGGTAAATCTAAAATGCTCTAGGGGTGTGTGTGTGTGTGTGTGTGTGTGTGTGTGTGTGTGTGTGTGTGTGTGTGTAAACACCTTACCCCTATACCCTGAATTATCCCTCAGTGATTTGAGTAACTTTTGATGGCTAGATGAAACAATTCAATTTTTTGCTTTTCTTACTTGGGTAATAACATATAGGAAGACCGAATTTGCTAAAGACAGTAAGCCAGTTCTGATACAAGGAGCAGTGCAGTGTCACAGAAAACCACAGCAGATTCCGCACAACTAAGGTCTTAGGTTGGTTCTTCCAGAAGCTTAGTTTTGCAGGCTCTATCAAAGGAAGATTCTGTGCCCCCTGGGAGAGCAGCTAGCTTATATTTGTATCTAGTTAAGTTGCAACATGTGTCTCAAGAATGTGTGTATATATGTCAGTGGACCCAACCTGCATGGTGCCTTGTCATTTGCATGTCACCCTGGTCACTCTTCACCACCAGATGTGACCCTTAGTTCATGTTCAAGAGATCTGAAACCCCTTTTACTAGAAGGAAACGTGCTCCCATTATTATTTTACTTGCAAGCTATACATTAATCTTCTTTGATAACTGTCTCTTCAAAGTAAAAGGACTATCTTCATTTTATATTTAAAACAGTGAACTTCAAAGCTTTCATTTGAATGCTGGTGGGGTGCACAGAAAGAAAAAACTCTTCAGTGCTCCAGAAACACTGGGCAGAGTCTGAAATGACAGATGTTTCATTCCTATGTTTTCTTTTCTCTTTTTAAAGTTCTCTTGTCACTTAAAACAATTTGGTGGGATCCTCCACCCTCCAGGTGGCATTTCAGAGCTATGTCATAAACCTCTACAAACACAAGTTAATGGTGGGAATGTTGATCATGGGGGCTCCTAGGTAGTTACCAAGTGTGGCAGGCCTGTGAAAATGAGGATAAGCCCCCCAACATAAATCAGTGAGTCTGAAGGCACATGAGTGTGTACCCAGGCTATCCATTCCCCACTCCCAGAAACGCGAGATCAAATCACATGGAAGTGTTGTGAGAAGCCTGACTCAGTGTGGAGAAGTGATTTGGGGGTAGGGTGGGGTGGTGCATTCACCAAGCTTCAACATGTGGGAACACAGACCCCCTTTAAGAATCCTTTTACTGTCCCCGGGTGGGCTAAGGAGCGTGAGAGAAGGCTGCAAACAGGGACCTTTGTGCTTGGGTGTTTCCTGTCTCCCATGATCTCAGTTTAGTTCTCCTAGGGGCTTCCTTTGGGTGATCTTTAACATATGGCTGCACTGTGCTGAGCCCTTCCTTTGGAATGAACAGACTTTCTAAGTGAGTCATTGCTATTCTTCCTTTTTTCATCAATTAAAGAAAACCCACCATTTTATGTGAGTTTTAAATGAATACTAGCCTAATTATTAACAACTGATATGAATACCAGGTTAAAAGATACTCTAGGCTTTCATGTGTTTTCTAGAAATGTCTTTGAATGTCAGCATTTGATTGCTTCATTGTCTAACCGGGCACTTGATCTGTGTCCTCTCCTACCTCATGAAATACAGTGAGAAAATAGATTCACAATAAACACAGTGGAAACAGCAAGTTTTTTTTTAAGTTATTAAGCAAGTGCTACTGTTTAATTTACTGTTCATTGGCAAATGCTTAATTTTTAACATGTCCATCAAATCAATCAAACTCTGGTTGGCTTTTACTGTTTGGGGTATGTCTCACTTATATCTACCTTGACTTCACTGATGGGTTAAGAAAGCAAAAACAAAACAAAAACAGAAAAGCAATTCTGCCTTGTACTTTTAGCAATACTTTTGGCGTTAGCATCTGAGGTACATGGAACCAGGAAATCAAATGTGACCAAGGGAGATCTCTCAAGGGTAAATTTAGTGATTAGCAATCTCCCAGCTACAGCTGTGCCTAAACTCCAACAGGTACAGTTTCGTTTGCTGACACTGGAAAGAGTGAGGCCATTTCTTTTGGTAATTGTAATTCCTCTTCCAGTTTCTGGGCAGATATGAGCTGCTGGTACTCCCCCCACCCCCGAGCTTTGTCCTTTCCCTGTCATCCCCTGCTTTTGCTCCTGACTTGTATTTTTTTCCTCATCATCAAATCTTCAAACACTGGTGATCATG